GACCTCTCCTGCACCACCCCTAAACTTAAGGTCCAAGCTGAAAGGCTGCTGCGTGCGAAGCCTGGCTACAGTAAATGCTGGTTAGTTCGGTTCTGAAACATCGGGGGGGCCTTATTTCCTAAATGACATCAAAACCAGGTTTTAAAGATTCAACTCCACAAGACACTATGACCTAAAAACAACTTTCTTCTAACCTGTCCTGGAATAGGGCTTTGTTTTTCATAATAGACTACCCCTCATAAGAGGAATGGAGACTTCATTTCAAGCCACAGCCCTTCCTTTATCTCTGTCATTTTACCTTTGGAGGGAAAAAGTAAGAGAGTTTCTCTTCATTCTCTAAACAAAGCAGCACTTGCTTGAAGACTTATTGTCAAGACAAAATTTCAAAACAATTTATTGTACATATTTACAGCCTTTACTTTCACACGGGCTGCTGCATGAGGTAACTTACAGAATGACATTTTGGATGTGCAGAGATCAAGCCAAGTCGTTTGTCATTTGGATTAAGGGCAACATACCGAATTGAAGACAAGTACGTCACCTCTACTCATAAGTAGTTTGGAATTAAAAAAAAACCAAAACAACCAGAAGATGCTTTAAAAGATTTACTGTTTCTTGGTTTTGTCTCCCGCTCAGTACAACAAATTCGTATGACAGTCCTGACCTCTAGATATTACACTGCAATTTATCAATCATTGTTTATCAAAAACCAAACAGCGCTGTGTTACATCCGTCAGGATTTTTGATACTGCATGTCAGTTCTTGATTTTAATTGGCAATCATAGGAAGCACAGAGTGCCAGCCCATCTTGTTGCACATGGAATTCTGATACCCATTTGTGGAGGAAAAGCACCTTAAACTTTACCACAATTTGCTTGAATTGCCCTGATCTTAACCATGTCTACACGCCAGCTTAGCAAAAGAATTTAGCTAGTTTGGTTTTTTTAACTAGTTATTTTTCCCCCTAAAACAACATTGAAATTCATGTAACAGTTATTAAAGTGAGCTAGATTCTGAGCAACTCAGATTACCTCCATCTACAGACAATCAGCTTCATCCAAAAGCCCTAAAACTTTCTTTTCCATGGCTCACCTTATTTAGCTATTAAAAAAAAATAAATCTGGAGGTTGAACTATTTAATCTTTTATGTATTTTGAGTAACAACTTCTTAACCAGCAGTAACTATCTTTCTTACTCCTCTGAATCCCTGCTGCAGTGCCTAAAGGCCGTAACTTAGCGTTTTTCTCGTTCTACATTACTCTTCCTCATTATGTTTCCCTGTAATACAAAAGTCCTGAAGAAAATTGTTCCTTTCTAGCACTCATTTCAAAACACATTTCATAAGATAGGTCCAATACCTCTAATACAACACTACTCTATTTTGAAAAGAAATAACATACAGAAATTTCATCTCCAAACTGGGATCCAATTTGCAATCCTTCTCTGATGCCCTGAATCCCTCCCACCTCAGAGATCTGATTCCGCAGAGTACAGGCCACCCAAACACCACCACACAGTTGGGCACAGCTCTGTCCCCACCTCAGAGCTCACGGCCCCTTTCTCACCATCCCAGCTTGCCACAGACGCAGACTGGAGAACCCAAGCTTCGGAAGCTCGTGCCGCTTCCCACCTGCCACCCCCTTCCCCCACACCCGGCTCTCAGCACTGCACACATCTGCTGTCGCTTCCTCCTGGCGTACTTTCAGGATGATGCTGCTTTTGCAACTCATGAGCTGCTCGCACCTACCAGCACTTGGCCATGTTAGCTAAGACAACCTCCTCCTCGGACCGTGGCTGAACAAGTCCTAGCTATGACCTCTAACAAATGCATTGAGCGACAAAGTATTTTTTCAGCTTCCAGTGGCAAATGCATCCAGAGAGCAAAGCATGCATGCCAAGCCAAAAATCCCGTGTTCCTACAGCAGAGAACAGACACCAAGAGGGGTTTAGAGAATTAAGGTGGATTATAGTTATGCCCTTTGTCAGTGGAGGTTTTTATTTCAAGTATTTATTGGTGTATTTGTGTAGTTACCATTCCACATTACTACTCCACAGAAAATAGCGGACAAATAATCATTCGCCCCCCTCACGTACCTTACCATCTTCTCCTTAAGTCTTTTTCCAGGCAGGTGGTCTTCTAGAGGTAAGTAGAAAATTCCTTGCTTCTCCAAAAGATAAAAGCCTTTCTGCCTAGGAAATTCGTGGGTAGAACTTACCTTTGGGGGGTTGGAGGGCAGGCAGAAGGGAAAGAATTCTTGCTTTCTTTAATATTGCTATCAATTCCAGAAAACAAGATCTTGTAAAATACTCCATATCTAGTTATCAATTCTCAGCTATGCCAATTTCCATTATACAGAAGAATTTAAGCAGAATACAGCAGTTCCATTTAACTGGCTTCAAATTCTTTTATATGCCAAGATCTGCGAGCACAGTTGCAGGAAGGCCACTGATGCAACTGAACAGAAGGAAAAAAGAAAACATGCAAAGTATTTTCGTGTGCTTAAAGGACAATACCTTAAGTATGCAATGGCACAATAAAAGCCTCAATTTCAGACATCTTCCCCCACCTGCTAGTTGTGATTCTGCAAGAGATCTGTAAGCATGAATGCGTTATCCAAGATGACAAATACTACATGCTCAAAGTACACGACAGCAGTACGGGTAAATCAGTAGGTATTGAGGGTAACTGGATGGCCCTAATCGGTTTTATTCATTCGGTAAAGTGACATCCTAGTTTTGTTTGCAGCATTAATTAACAAGTTATTTCAATTAAAAAAAATTAGAGAAGTCATCATATGACAAGTAGTTCAACATACAATTAACTGTCTTAGCAGATAATCTACAGTTTACCGCTCCCATTTGAAGTACGTGCATGCAATGTCAGGTTACTGATGGTTTTCCTCTAATTAAAACTTGGTGTAAATTTAGTTGTCTTATGCTATTTGCATCTCAGTGTATAGTGAGAATACGCAAAGCTAACTTTCACCATTTGCATAAAAAAATGCTTTCTTCTAGCATTTTGCAGCATGAAAAGCACGATTTCTTCAATGTAGTATTATTGCAGTTCACAGTCAAAGTCAAGAAGATTAAGAGCCATTTCATGGATATACATTACCCTCCTGTAATATAATGAAACATCTTCACAAAAGTTAACAAGAAATAAGATATTCTCAGTTTATATAGGCTTCATTAAGAGACTGAAGGATTTGGATAGTGAATTTCTTAGGTTGAAGGGATACAATTAGATGCTGTGATGCACGGGCTTATGATTATTTTGTTCAGCAGCAGCAGCAACAGCCACCAGCCTGTGCCTAAATTTAACCATGTAGAAAAGGACCCATAACAGGTTCCAACTGCATTGGAAAGCGACAAGCCACAGCTGCTCATTTAAGTTTACTTCTCCACATCTCCAGTCACTTCGGTGGTCAACCGAACAGTTACAGTTCAGTATCTGTGGAGATGGACGACTGACCATCCCAAGTCACAGTTATCAAAATTCCAGGCATCACTTCTGATAGCACAACTGTAAAGGAGCCTATCCCAACAGTTGTCTTGGACAGGTACGTTCAACAGGTTGGGAAAGGCTCCAGATGCCATCTACAAAATTTTGTGGAAGAGATTGTCCCCCACCCCTCCCCACAACTCTAACCATCACCACTCACTTTCCACCAAAGAGGTGTAAGGTACATGCGTACATTATCCAGAAGTATTCTGGTGGTGGTAGGAAAATTAGTCAGCATCACTACTACAGTGCAAGCTTCCAAAAGAAACAGGGATTTGACCAAAGCTAGAGAACAACAAATAAACAGTTCTTTACAGAGCATGTTTACTTCTGCTGTCTCTTGGTGCTGCCCAGCACCATCTGACATGACCTTGAAGTTGCATCTGTTTAAACAGAGGCACATTAGGAGTCCTGGATTGAAAAGTACCTATGGAAGTTAAATGTACAGCAGATCAAGCTGTTCAATCTAAAACCTACTGGGTCCTAAGATTCTTCAAAGATTTTTTTTTCCCTAATGGATTTAAAAGAAGTCTTAAGGAGCTGTCATCTTAACTACCAAGTCTTTTACTTAGAAAGTGGCTAACCCGTTCACTAGAGGGAGCTTAAACTGTAGTATGAGTCAAATGAAGTAATTGTAAACTCCCATATAAATGCGGGGGGGGGGGAAATCAATGAAACTACCTTAAATGTTCTCCTCAATTATTCTGCATGAAGGGTCATCAGAAAGTTACAGTCAAGATTTGTCTCAAAACACAACACCACACAGCACATGCCTTATGGTTTCTTAGCTTTTATTGAGTGGTACTTTTTTTAAAAAACCTTTTCTACAAAATACCTCACCTCTCAAAAAAATGGACAATTTTCAATAAATGCTGTCTCAAATGCAAGATAGACTACATGTTAGAAAGAAAGAGAAAGAAAGGTTTATTTTGATTATTGGTACAAATACAAGAATTTATATAGCTTCAGAAGAATACTATCCCACAAAACACATACATGAAGACTCACATGCACCTTTGCAATCAGGTCAGTCTGAAACGTGAACAATTACACATTAGGTGGAAACATGTTAAGAATCCCAAATCCAGGAACTGGAAGAAATTCAGGAGCACATACCTGAGTTCTGTATCGACAGTGTCTAGTCTGTCTTGCTCAGGGCTGACCCCCTCTTCTCGTGTAATAAAGTGTCTGTAGCAAGTCCTTATCTTCCGGAATAGCACTGTGCTTCCAACAGTAATGACTGACGCACGTTTAGAGACCGTGCCAAGATTCAAGACAAGGCAACGCTTCAGGTCACATTGCCAGGGAGCTTCACAGGTGCCCTCTGGGAAGGCAAGATACCAAAACGCAACTCATTAATGGGATCATACTCTTCATAGAACAAGGCAGGTGAATATCTAAGTTAGGAACCTGTACACTTGTGTGATGTAAGTTTACTCAGTATTTCATGCTGAAGCAGGACTCCAAAATGTTCAGGTGCCTTCCAGAAATGTAACTTTTATTGCTGAGCACATTGTGTTTCAGGAGTTGGCTTAGAAGATACATACAACGTTGTATATTTTCTCTTTTGTGTTTTCTTCTCAGTCGTGATTTTATTGTCTTTCTTATCTTCTTTTTCCGTAGTTTCAAATCTGGATTCAGCTGTTAACCTACAGGCAAAGCAACCATTCTAAATACATATTTAGTTAACAAAAAACAGGGCTAAAATAAGAGTTTTAAGCGAAATCAACAAGCCAACTGGCATACAAGACCATCTGTATGCCAAGACAGAGCAAGCAGTGTTTAAGAATAAAGTGAGACTCACAAAGCATTTTTATATCAGTCCTATTCACATTTCATCACTTCAAGTATAGCCTTCCCCCCCTTATCTGCTGAAATGTTTGGTAAAAAAGGTTACCGAATGGGTTAACTGGTTGGGATCAGCCTTTGGAAAAAAAAAATACCCCAACCCCCAGTGACTGTGCCATGCACATGAAGGAGACCAAGTCCACAAAAGTACAACTCAAGTGAAAAGTCCCAGCAACATAATACAAACGTGATCAAGTCAAGCATTTTGCTTTAACACACCTAAAAAACCAGCTACACTCAAAGCAGTATACTACTTTCCAATCTAGTTCTGCACTACTACTGCCTGTATCTTAATGCCTGATTATCTGAGAAGTTGTTGTTGGAAAAAAGTTATTTTCAGGTTCTAAATTACATCATTTGTCCACTGACATGTTTTAATTCTGCTACGCATGTAAATAGGAATACAACTGCCACATTGCTGTTAAAGAGTTAAGTTCAAAACAAGAATGAGACATCTGAGCAAAATTTGATGTTTTGATTATTTAAGAATTACTTAAACATACAAATGTGTCATTAGAACAAATTGATGAATAGTGGTCTTTACTCAACCAAGCCACCCACAACCAATTAACTATTACACAATGATTTCCACAGCAAAACAGACTCTGCAAAACGAAGTTCCAAATCAAACACCACTTTACATACCAACACAATCCTATGCTGACTCATCACCACATCCACCACATGAATCACCACCAGAGAAACCAATTCTCTAGTGACCTGGCGGATTTCTAATGGCCTCAAGAGCCTCCAGTGAGCAACCCACAATCTACAGCTGCTTTGCTGATGGTTTTCCAAACAGGAACAGCTGCTACCCAGTTGTTGGAGATTTATTTACAATACAGAGATACAGCTGACTATGAGTACTATGAAAGGAGCCATAACAAAACAGTTTGGGGAAAATGTAGCTACAGATTCACATACACCCCCCCCCAGCCCCTAGTCTATCTTTACACACAAAAATATCAAATAAACTATTTTTATCCATTGCACACAGTCTGCCTATTATTTCCTATAAGCACTGTCTCAGTCAACTGAAGAGAAATATGCTTTGCTGTGCAGCTCCCCTAGCTCAGCCATGTTTGCTCCACTGTTTGCTTTGTAGTAAGTCCACACTTGTAGTTCTGATAGCTAAAAACTTCTTGTCCATGGTCAGCTTTCCTCCAGCTGCCCTCCAGTTTAGATGTGCTGCTACTTGGAAGGAGCCAAGTAATTGAGTGGTTACAACAACAAGCAATTATCCAGGGAATGAGAAAAAGCACATTCTTCATAATCTCCTGCTTAGTGTTTAGCCTGCCCCCCTTATGAAAAACTTTGGTTATGGCAGTGAGGTCTTCAGGAAAGTCTGAAGATTCAAATAATTGAGCTTTACTATGACAGTGAACAAACAATTCAGGCAAATACATTCTTCCCCTTTCATTCTTATTATCTCATAGTTGGCCTGCAAACGCTTCAGGACTGATTATTCTACACCCTACAGGCTGTTGAACCATACCTTCATTACCACACCAAATTATATTTTTTCTGCAAAACACACATTTCACTAGTGTGCAATAGACCATGTCTGCAGGCCCCTACCTATAAACACGAAGCAGGACAAATGACTGAGTTCTGATAGCAGATTCCAAAGTTAGCCGTTAAGCATCATGTTCTGAAATTGAGTCTCACTGAGTTCAAAAATCAGCCAGCCCCTTTTTAATTCTTTCCTACCAACCTTCATGATCATGAAGGAGCAGCAGTAACAAAGTGTTATGAACTAACTGCAACCCCCATTCCCCATCACCCCTGTGCCAACCTGGTGAGGAGGCAGCAGAAGTTGGGAATGAAGGAGTGAAGTTGAGCCTGGGAAGGAGGATTGGGGATAGGGGGAAGGTGGTTTTCTTTTGCACTGTCCCACTATTTAAGTGACAATGAGTTAATCTTCCTCAAGTCAAATCTGTTTTGCCTTTGATTAAGTGATCCCTGTCTGTATCTCAACCCACAAGTTTTTTCCATCTTATTTTCTCCCCCATCCTGTTGAAGAGGGGGACAGCAGCTGGGTGGGCAGCTGGCCAAGGTCAATCCACCACTGTCCTCACACCAAGCCAGCTCACTGACCACCCCTTATAGCCTTGTCCTATTTCATGAAGGATTAGGACAGGGAAGTGGATGGATAAGAAACAAGAGACGACAGTTAAACACTTCCACCTAAGAAAAAAAATTGCTTCTGAAACTACGACATGGAGCTTTGACTTTATAGACTCCAAAACCAAGATGTAATAGGGGCTCCTTCTACCCATTTAAGGAAGATCAACTACTCTCATCAGATGGGGACGAATGCCAGGCCTAACACCAGAGACAGTGTTAGTTATCCACATCTCCTGCTCAGCCAAATGGCTATAGGGTTTCGAACAAAGTCCAAATGAGGTAGATTTGGCATCTGTAATCCAACTAAATAATTTAAAAGAGCAAATAAGCTCTTAGGCACACAAGCCCTTCTTTAGATCAAACTAAAGCAAACCACCTCAAAACTAAAAGCAAACTAAGTTGGGCAGCAAGGGCCAGAATTTGCTATTTCTGTTTCAGCAGCACAGAAAAGCCCTTCAGCCCAGAAGGGTACCTTCTTATTGACCAGTTGGCCTAACAAAGAGATAGCACTACCTATAACCTTTGCATTGCCTGAATTACAATAGTAATTAAGAAGTCATAATCATCCCTTAAATATTTAGATCTTTAGTCTCAACTAGTATGTTCTCACCACTCACATACCATAACCTAATCAGCACCATCCCCTAATAAAGTATTCCAGTGTTTACTTGCTTTAAACTTCAGTGAGTGTACACACACACTGCAGATACAGACACGCTATTAGTTCCAAGTTAGCTAGCTCTGCCTTTCTAAGTCACATTACCAAGCAAGACCCTTCACACAGGAAAGGTGTCACCCATACAAGTACACCGATCACTTCTGACCACTTCATCACCTCCCAAGCTAAGCTGACACACCTTTTCAGACCCTATTCTCTAGAAGTGAAGTTTGCAATCCTCTCACAGTTACTATGGCTCTTCCCATCACTGCCACATTTTACAGACCAATGATGACCGAGCTAAACTAGTAACGGCACAAAAGCTACTCCAGTTACAGAAGTAACCCACAAGGACCACAACAGCCTGTTCAACCAGAGCATCACATTTTGCTTAACACAAGGTGAAACACAATTATCCACCATGAACATGCCAAGTATTTTTTTGTCTACCAAACTCTCCATTTTCAGGTCCACGTCCCTGCTCAAGTTTCCAATATTTTCTGTGCCTTTGCCTTTAGCTGTGTTCCTATGTAGGGTTTGGCCACATCCATCACAGAACAGTCCAGAGATTCTTTCCTGTTTAGAAACTTAACCTCTCAAATATTCAGATTTTATTATGACCTCCTATTTCATAACAAATCATAACAGATCAGGGTTAAGTCCTCAATGTTATCTTAACAAGATCATTAATTGGGGATTTAGTAGTTCATTAACACAATCAGAAACATGAACAGGACCTTCTGCCTGGATTTGCCCTTTACAGGTTCATACCTCCCCTGAAAACAAATTAAAAGCTTATATGGAGTTTTGGAGCCTTCTTTTGTTGTGCTGGTGGTTTTTATTTTTTTTAAAGTCTACTGATTTCTGTTTTGTTCCTTATTTGAACCAACAGCAATGGGTGCAATATTAGAACCCTCCCTCTGAACTATGACTTCATCTTCCTCTTCCACTTTCTCCCCTCGCTTTGCTTTCAAACATCAACTCCATGAAACAACTTCCTCCCTCACCCCCTCTCCAATAGGTTTACCCTTCAGTTCCCACAAACCCTTTCCAACAACTTCCTGTCGGCAGACACCGTGTCTGACTTTGCAAAAGAAATAGGAGGAAACAAGTTAAACTTTTCGCACCCAGGTTACATGCTCTGTTCCTCTACATGTACAGAACACTGACAGAACACAACGCTGTCACTGAAGTATCCAATCTTTCACTGCCCACTTTTGACATCCCTGACCTTTCCTCCTCAGTAACAGTCCCTGCATGTTTTGACATCCCTACTTAAACCTGCTATTTCTGCCATATTCTTTCCAGACTTTCAGAAGACTGTAACTGTTGCGTGACTTTAAATCCATTACCACATCCAATGCAACATTTAATAATTGATCTAAGAGTCAAAATATCAATCCAATTACTTCTGAATGCCCTTAATTGCGGATATACTGTACAGGTTTCTACGTGTTCAGCCTTCCTCCATCTTTGAAGCTGCTGTCATACTAGATTCAAACTATTTTTACTAGCAGACATTAGCAAGTTCTAAGCTCAGAACATCTAGACTACCCCAGATTTCTTTTTCTCCCCCCAAACACTCAAACATGTTTACAAAGAATATGAATATGAACACAATACAAAAGCATCAGCTGGAAAAATATAATCAGTATCTTTTTTACCAAGATAAAAAAAGCTGGAGCTAATTACTGTTCTAAGTTACATTACCTTCTATCAAAAAGTCCTCCCCAGTTCAGAGCAGGAACTTGATCTCAATTTAGCAGTTGTGTTTCTAGTTATCATGCATCCAGATTACCCAAGTCAGTTGTCTGACAAAACAGATAGCATACCTAACTGCCTATGATCTTGTACAATACAAGTTCTGTTGACCCAACTCGGGTCAAGAATGACTTATTTAAATAAATTTTAGGCTTTTAGCTAATTCTGAAGGTTGATGCGAGCTGAATTTAGGTATGAAACTGAAGCATGATACCTATTGTCTTGGTTACTTTGATACGTAATACAGGTGTGTGACAGCTTTGAAGGGACCAAGCAAACAGACCTATTTCAGCAGTCAGCGCATGACAGCTCACTGGGTTTGCTATCTGCACACCTTCAACATTTTCAAGTAGTGAGAAAGTTATTTCAAAGCTTGTTACAGTTTCAAGAGTCTTTTTCATTAGTCATCATTTTAGTCTTTCTAAAAGGTATTGAGAGGTTCAGCGTAGGCAGCCGGAGCTGAGGAATGACACTGCATGCAACACTGAGGAAATAGATAAAGAAGTGGATAGCATAGTTCATGCAGCGAAAGAAAAGAGATGCAGGTCTGTGCTGATTGCCTTGACCATAGACAGAAGCTGACACTGACCTGGGGGCAGCTGAAGTCAAGGAATTATTTCCACTTCTGCTATATGAAGTAAAGGCATCATGATTCTCATCTTGAATTTTAACTCTCTTTCTTTCTCTTTCATGTTCCACTCCTTTTTGCATCGCTTGAAGAGCTATATTTATTGAGGGTGCTTCAAGAGCCTGTTTTTTTGGAGAAGCATCACTTGGCTCCAAGTTCTTGGAATTCATCTTTGTTTCTTCCTTACTTGGCAACTGAGCGAGAGCAGCTTCTTTTACTGAAGTATTTTTGCTGTCCAAGTATTCACAAGTAGTGTCCATTGGAATCTTCTCCCTCTTCTTTTTAATTTTAGTGCTTTTAAATAGTTCTAAGAAAAAAGGAATATACATTTTGTACACAAGAGATGCCGAGTTTACTTGTCCGCCAACATGTACATAATAAAGAACATTTCACATGTCTAAACACTTTGGAAAAATTCTTAATGGATGACTTACACCCTTTAAAGACTGTCCCTTCGTATAATCTCCTATCAGCAAGTAACCACCCCAAGCAAAGTTGGCTTGAAATAGACAAAAATCTTTTTCTCCCCATCCACTCTACCTTTTTACCAAGGCTTTTCATTAGATCCTCTGAACTACGTGAATATGCTCAATTATTTCCATTTTGGAGGCTGCTGAGATAGGCTTCCACAACTAAGGCTTTAAAATTAAATCCTTTGGGCATGGACAAGTACCAAAACCAATCCACCCGTCTGGCTCACCATTCACCTTCCGCCACAGGCTAAAATTCCCTTGTTTCTGCACACACCCAGGTATCTGCTGTTTTCCAGGTGGGCCTCTGTTGTCTAAACTTAATCCACATTAACTTGAGCTACTAAACAGTTCCGCTAAGTGCTCTGCACTTGTTACAAAGCGCATCTCAGCTGCCTACATTCACAAAGCTGATACTTCTCATCAACAGAGAGATGCTGCTACTATTATGAAAAGCACCTCCTGAGAATCTGTTCCCATTTACTCCACTATGGTTATCTCGCTATATTCCATAAAGCCTCTGAACGCTGTAATTTGTCCTCTTTAGCCTTCTGAAATTAGTCTTAGTTTACATGTTGAAGTAAGGTCCTTGAGCAAGGTAGGGCTTTACTATTAGTTCAGCAGTTTCTGGACCAGGTTATTATCAAAGTGGCAGCCATTTAAACATTAGTTTATATCTGGAATACAATGTCATTCCACTTCAAGGTTGAGAAGATCAGATATTCTTTTTCTGCATGAAAAAGTGGTATTTACCTTCAGGTTCGTATTTCATTTTTAGCTCATCCAGCATAACTCGCAAATTCATATTCTCACTCTGACAAGCTTGCAAATGCCTCTCATTTGTGAAGAGTTTCCTTTCAACTTCCAGAACCCTTTGGCTCTCATACAGAGCTTTCATCCTCTGCAAGGACAGCTCATTTTTCAAGGTTTCAGTTTCCTTGCTGGGGTGGGAGGAAAAATTATACAGTCACTCAGACTTGCCTTCTTCTGGGGTTTTCCAACCTTTTGTTTGTTTGTTTTTTCCCCCCAGTAAAGCAGCGGATACAATGTCAACTAAGCATTTGGCTACTTCACATGAAAGTCATATTTATACACTAGTAGGAAATGAAAGAGATCTCCAGTACAATGGAAGTTATCACTTGAACTTGACATAGAGCAGTAAGTTTAGTACCAGAGACAGAAGGGCTGTTCAGCACACAGCTTTGTGTTTTTAACAAGGCACGCGTAGGTTTGAGAAGCCATCCCTAACCTACAAATTCACTATTTCATCAGGGTTTTTCTAGACTGTGTATAAATTAATACAACTACTTCCCTAACCAACAACACAAGCTTCACACATACTCTAAGCAACCAACACAAAAATCATTATGTTAATACTCAGTGCCTGCCCTTGCCTCTGTTTCAGAGGCCACGAACTTCCACACCACAAGCACCCAACCACCATTCCTCAGCCAACTGAAGATACTCAGATCATGCCAGTTTCTCATAATAGCAACAACAGTGAGTGACACTTCTCAGGAATTCCCACAGCACACCGCTGCCTCCTGCTGCAAGTGCAATACTTCCACCTGAGGGCCTCCAGGCCAAACACTACAGACTTCCTAATTAGTGGAAATGGAATTCACTAGCCACTAGAACACATATCAACTAAGTAATCCAATTAAATATTACCTGTTATTATCTGGCTCTTTTCAGAAGAGAAATAAATATATACACAGCCTATAGACTTCAAGCAGCTTCATATAGTTCCCTTACAGGATAATTTTAATAAATTTTCTTTAAGTTCTCAGTTACCTTATATCTAGGAGTATTAACAGAAAAAGGCAACAATAATACAGAATAGCTCTGCTGCTATCTTCTGCAACAATACGTGAAATGACAAACAAAACTCCTCTCAGTTCTGTAATGAAGACAGGAGGGCTCTACAGCATTTGAAAATGAGACAGTGAACCTATTTGCACATACAGTCAGTGGACTACGTACAAACAGTAACAAACAACTACAAAAACAAGTAGCTAGAAGGTAACCAGACTACAGCCAACTTCTAGGCCTCAGACCATTCGGTACTCACTTGGAGTTGTCAAGTTTCAGTTGGAGTAAATCTGCATAGTAACCATCTTCACCCTCTGCCCCTTTTGAGCCACCAGCTCTGGATTCTTCCATATTCTCATATAAAGTCTGATAAAGAAAAAATGTCAGGTTGTCAAATAGTGACCTTCCAGAAGGACAGCAGCTTAGTCCTTAGGTGAAATTTTCCATGCCTTTCTATGGAGAAGCCTCATTATAGAGGTATTTAAACATACAAGAGCGCTCAGTTGCTCTGAGTATGTCCTCATTTGTTACAAGCGTCAAACATCACTGAAACTGACAGTTATCTCATTCACTGAAAGAAAAAGAAATTTAAAAAGTTCAACTCCAGAAGGTTTTCTAATAGCATTGCTTAACAACTATCTTCCTTTTACCTTGAAAATACAGGATATTTAGTTAACCCCCAGGGAATTTGTTTCAGCCTTTATTTCTAGGTTTCTGCAGCTGGACCCCAAAGGGGTAAAAGCCATGTTAATCAATAGCCAACAACTCAAAATCAATTACATCTTTTAGATACGAAAGTTGGTTCACAGTAAGGATACCATAAACACAATAATGTTCTATAAAATACATCAGTAACAAGCAAAATGCTGTGGGTTTTGTTTTGTGCTTTTTTCTGAACAAGCAGGACTCAAATTTAATACAGTCTCACAGATCTCAGAGGCTTCTGAGAGTCACTGATTACAGGCACTTTCAATGGTTATTTGAATCAACCATTTAAATTTCCTGACACTACTTATTCATGGCATAGAGACAAAAATAAATACTGATCAAGCTTATACATGACAAAACTGGTAGAGCAATCAAGCTGTCTCAATTGCTCACTAAAATGGGTTAAGCTGAGCTTTATGCCACTTCGGTTAAATGCAGAACAGAGGACTCTATCCTGGAAGGCATAATCCTAATACAGCAGCTAATACACCTCAGTTTACGGTCCAAAGCCACGATAAGAAAGGGCTACATGAGTCTGTCTGTATTTTAGGCAGCCTCAGGTTTTTCACTCTGTATACAACAGACATCAGTAACACCACAATAGTGCATACAGGTGTTCTCATGTATTTCTCACCTTCCAAAATACTGACAAAATGCTATGAAGTTGCATGAGAGGACTGAAGAAATTGCTTTACAAAGCTGATTAAGCAATTCCGTTTTTCTAGACAAGAGCCTGCTTCAACTGCAAAGACACATTAAAGAAATACCCAAGAAATCCAGTATAGCTGAGAGACTAAAAACTGATAAAGCCTAAGTACACACAGTAAAAGCATGAAATCTAATTAATTTCTTCTGAGAGAAACATCAGATGTAAACTTGGACCAAGTAATTGAATTTAAACACTATAGGTCATTATGTACAATACAAAGGTGCTACACACAGGAACCCAGGAAAGACTTTCTTTTTTCCAAACTGGGGGTTCGGTGATGCAAAGTTTTTTTGGTTCTCTGAACTTCAGAAGTATCTGTTCTCCAGCTGTAAAAATGGAACTTCAGTCAAATAGAGGGATGAACAAGCCTTTGGATCCCTTTTCAAACCTGAGCATGGACTTCAGATAGTTTTCATCATCATTCTTATTCTCATCTTTTAGCTTCCGATTAAGACTTTTCCACTTAATTATAGACCACATACCTTAAATTTTTCTAGCTGCCTTACTTTCATAAGAAGATCTTCTATCTCACCATTCTTTTGTTCCACCATTGACTGTAAGCGTTCCAGCTGCTCAAATTCTGCCTGGGAGCCTTTCATCTGTAGCAGTGCAGCCATTTGCAGCTGGAAAAAAGGAAAAAATCTTTACAACCGATACTGAGTTAAGTGACAGAATCTTCACCTTTTACCTAGAATGGATAGGCTACTCAAGCCTTGTAATAATTCTAATCCTGAATACAGAAGTGCACTGGATGCTTGAACACAGTAGTCTTCACAATTATAACCATATATTGACACCAAAATTCTTTTGGACAACTGCAAACTCACTGAACAGCAGTCCTGAGGTGTCCTATCTTACTCTGTATTGACTAAGGAACCTATAAACACACTGTCAAGGACACACACATTTCACATTCAAACCGTAAACACCAAGTCAGCTAGAACCAAACTACAGACCAGACTTGTTTATCAGAGCTAGAATGCATCTATTGAGAACTTCTCGCTTGGGAAAACACACACTCTAGTTCATCACCAAGTTTACAACCCCCCTTTTTTTTTGGCAGTTCCGATTCTAAGGTGTAGATAACACCAAGTTTGCCTTCTGTAATACTAACCCAAGAATTTCAGCTGCTTCTACCTCTTCAGTGGAACACATCCTTTCAAGCAAAGGAACACCCTTTGTCATTACAAAAGGAGAATTTTATCAAAGAAAGTCTTACATTTATAGCAGATTTTGCTGATGCTGTTAATACAGTAACATCATAGTACAAGGGCCTTACCACACTAACTCAAGTGATACATCAGACCTCTAAACAGCTGGAGAAACAATATGAAATGCAGTCATGGAAAGACTTAACAGCATGTTAGTGATAACTGTGGCATTTTTACCAGTCTAGCCAGTATAGATAAGGTCAGACTGTAGGACCCTTTCCGAAATTACAGAGAAAGGATCAACTGAAACAAGTCAGCAGAGAAAGCAAGAAAAGAGCATTTACCCTACGGAATCTCCTATGTCAAGGAAAGGATATTGATGATTCTGTATACCAACTAGAGCTAAAGAGAGATTCAATCACCTCCTCCTCACAGCTTCTGTAAGATAAAGGGGAGGCAAAGTTTTAACCCCCACTGGCTGACTAAAACTACCCTTACCCAAGCACGTAAACACCTAACTTTTTCCCTTTTCACTTAAAAGCCCACTTACCAACTGTCAGAATTGCAAACTGCAGTTGATCGACATAAAAAACCAGAGAACAGAAACATTAAAAAACTGGAGGGAATATCCATGAGCTGTGGAAAATACACCAGACATGGTAAAACCTTCACAGGAGTACTGCTTACATCCTGCTCAGGAATCAGACCTGCAGAAGTCATCAGCAAATACCACAGTCGGATGTTCTAACAACTGAAGCTGCAACAACAGTTAACTATACCCCTGCCGAACAAAGGGATCAGCTAACTACAGACTGAGCTTTAACACACCAAATCACAGTGCAACACAAAGCAGAGAGGATCCTAACAGGGATCCAAGATGGCAGCTAAGCAAAACACTTATCTTAACAAGTGACTTCTCTCCAATACTGATATTGGAAAAAATTTTATGGGGACCAAGGAGTACAAATTGAAATTCCAAATAAAAACATTAAGTAGTAAGAACAGGGATACTAATTTGCCTCAGTTCTTGGTGAAAATCTTCAGTGTTAGAAATGTTTCTCACACCAGTCACTCTGACTTACCCTCACATTACAAGGAAAAAAGTTTCTGAAGAAACTGATCCTATTCAATCATTTCACACAAATCTTTAGCTCTCAAAGTCAGATTTTAGCAAAAGAGAACTCCTTTGCTGCAGTCATTCTTTTCTTGTCCTTTAAGAATGTTTCAATTATTTTCAACCTACTTCACCAAAGCTAGGCAACACAAGCCTGCATCTTCAGTGTTATTCATTATCATCACTCCTGACGGTTAAGCACTCTCCTCAAACTGCATGATCAAGTACTGATCAAAATCAAAAGATGTGTTGGAAAAATCAGAAGTCCAACATGAAAACAGTTGGCAGTTTTGCAGCATCCCCTTTACATCATCTTGTAAATCAGCTTCTGCTAACTAGTTCTCAACAGCATTAACCAACAGGCTCCCATCCTACAGAACTGTGGTGTGAATTAAATAGTTATGACTCACTCTTGCACTAAAGATGGGGGAAAGCAAGAAAAACATGGACAAACATAAGAACAAGAGGGAAAAACCCCAGTGTGATCAGAGGACGGAGTACAAGTCTGCCCTTTTCTTTACATTCATTCCTGACAGCCACAGTTAACACGCAAATACACGATTTGTGTTGTATGAGAACAAGGTAAGAAAAAGCAATTGTCAAGACAAATGGAATGCTGGTTTGGCTGGTAGTTGTGTTTCGCATTTATCCATCTAACAATTACTGCCAAAGCATAGTGCCTTCAGTATAACTTGGGAGTTCTGGGATAAAGTAGCAGCACTAGTAGCAATAGAAAAGTGCTGATGTACCACAGAAGTCAACCACCACAGTGACATCTCACTTGTTTTTTCCTCCCATCTCCCTCCCCCCAGACCACTGTATCTTATTTCAAAGATAATCAAATCCCCTGGCCTGTGTGCAGAAGCATCGCCTTATCAGACCCCAAGGAAACCCTGGAGTATTACAGTAACGGTCATACCTTCATTCTTTGCAATTGTTCTCTAGTGAACGCGTGCTGTTTTTGTAGTGACTGGTATTTTATTTTCACACTGATCAGCTGTCGCTCCATTTCTGCCCTACGGTCCTCCACCTACAGAACATTGTTAACAGTTACTACTGTGAAAATTATAACACTTGTTGTCACTTGGATGACAAGTTTTACAAGAACCAGTTGATGTTGGCTCCGCAACTACTGCTTTTCTAGCAACAGGACTTGAAACATTACCCCCAAGATAAGAGTAGACAGTGCTGTAGCAGCTGAAGCCCTATCAGTAAAGTGCAACATATTTTTCTTTTGATATCAAATTAAAGTAACATTTCATCCGCTTCAGCCTTGCTGTAGAAGTTTTGGGCACTGGCATCAGAAAAAATAGTTTAAAAAAGCATACAAACTGTGTACCAATTGAGTCCATTCCCTGGGTGTTGTCAGAAAACAAATAACTTCCTACGCATTTAACAGCAGTTGAACTCTTATTTAAAAATTCAAAACCCCTCACAAATGCTCAAACACCCAGCCGTTTTCAGCACGTTTTCAAAAGCTTCTGCATTAAAAAAGGCTTACCAGCTGAACAAAACTACTTAGAGCCAAGAGCTGCAGACAGAACTGTCACAAACCCTCAGCCCCATCTTCTGTCTTGATAGCCAGGTAACTTTAAGTGATGCCATTAGGTTTACTACCTCCTCAACTTCAGAGTGTGCATTAAAATTGTTTTCCATAGGTCAGTTTCTAGACAGTTCAACACTGAAGTAGTATTTGAGGAATTCACACTGGCCAGATCAGGTACAGATACTCTAATATTTTCAGTGCAATACAAGAAATAAAAATTAGAATGTATTTCTTCTCTCATCTGTATATTCTCAGTTATCTATGGCATAACTGTACCTCAGCAAAGAGAGAATTGCCTTTACTTGTAGGGTCCAAAGATTGTTGCACTGCGTGATCCAGCTGAACCTGAAGCTCCTGATTAGCTTCATGAGCTTTCTAGATTAAAGCAAAGAGGATATTAGTCATTTAAGCATCTGATGTACTGCATATATATTTAATCAGATTGTTTTACCTCTTTTTCACTTCCTATGCCTTTAACACAGGTTATATTGTACCTCAGTACTTAACTGTGCATACAAGTCTAGTCAGTAAGAGACAAATTTGTTTCACTAAAAGGCTTAATATTCCACTTGTTCTTCAGTACAAGAGCACAACTAAAACCTTTAAAGGAAGGCTTTGATGTTTATCAACTGGATTAATAGCATTAAGACTATTAGCCTTACTGTGGTTTTTAGTCACAAATTCTCTACTCTCCACTCAAAATTTTCCAAGGCATTCAGTAGGAACTTGAAATAACAGTGAGAATTGTATCAGTGACCTGTGAGAAGGCCTTGTTATGGAGGCAGAAGACTGGAGTGCAAGGCATCTCCACACAGAGCCTTCCACAAAAGAATGCCAACAGGGAGAGTGTTTAACAACAGGCAA